CATTATAATTAGAATCAGTGGACAATTCTCTAATTGAATAATTTATTTAAATATTTTGAAAAGTTTATTTCAAATATTAAGTACACTATTCAATTGATGTGCTTATGATGATTCTAAATATTGACTTGAATTTATGACCGGTTATCTTTATATCCAGGGACATTCATTGCTTTATTTCTAGAGCAAAATTCTCTGCAAAATGATTTACGATTACCCGCCTATTGTTGAACTTGTCAAGTGATAACATGAAATTAACGTTATGAACAAACCTATATTATTCTCTTCAATGATGACAAAGAAAATTGTCACAAAGTTCCTGTTTCCGAAATCACTCATCCTACCATTGGACTCGGCAGAAAATTCATATTTTAGTTAGCCATATTATTAATCTATAATTTAAAAGTAGAACAAACCCAATGAAGTTCTATTGATATTTGTCATTTTGCAGAAACTCAATAGATTTCTAAAACGATTGTGTCGCATCTGGCGTTGATACTATAGTTTTATATATTGTTTTGAGCTCATTGTTTATCTGATGATGCGAAAAATCTATTGGGTGTGTGTCGATTTGTGTATGGTTTGAAATTTTGTTTGTTTAGTACTATACTTTAATATTTAAATGGAATGAAGTGAGAGGCCGATGAGTTTGATCATTTCTATGGTTTTATTCAATGTTCTTCATGGAAAAACAATATAGTTGTATGTCTAATGCTTAGAAAGCTAATCAAAGTAAAAAGAAGACGATAGGAGGAATTATTTCATATCCTTTTCTGTTTAGATTATGTAAAAGTTAAATAAACATTGATTTGCATATTTCTTGTGCTACTTTTGCGAACGAGACATTGTCAATAAATAAATATATATCTATTATTCCATTGGACTCGTTATCAATACAGTAGATCTTTATGGACTATTAATAAAATTGAGAACATTTTACTTGTATTTTCTTGAATAAAAATATCCCAAAATGCATGAAGATTCTATAACACTCGATGAACATCACTGTTTTAAACTTTGTTTTTCGATTTTAAAGAAAAGTTTCTCGAGTAAAACTTATCCCATCATCAATAATGATATTATTTTACGTTAGCGTCACAGAAATATTCAGTATTTTGACTTTTCCCTATACAGGATTAAACTGTTTCTATGTATTTATCAACATGAAAAACATACCTATTGTTTGCAAAAGATAGTTTGCATTTCTAAGTCAACAGTACTATTATTCTTTGTGGAAAATGTATTATTTTAGTAGATGATCATTGACGATAAATTAAATATTTTTTACGAGCAAATTATCATCGGCATAGTTTAATAAGTTGGATAGTTACCATCATTTTTAGACATGTTCTAATAGTTTCGATGATTATTGAATGCTTCTGTAGTATTTTTATGCTTAGATAGAAGTACAAGAAGCTTTTCTTGACTGAAAGTAACTTTTCTGTCAAGGACGTTTTCAAGAAGAAAATGGCACTAGCTAAACTTATATTAATAAGTTCCTTTCTGATTTCTTTTTCGCTTCAGTAGAACCATGTTTTTTATACTATTGTTTTTTCTCTTAAGTGTTTTCTAAACAGGGTATAAGAAAGAGAAAAACATTTTTCTGCTAACATTCTATCAGAACTAATTGTTTCGAAAATCTTTTTAGCGAATGTAAACATTAATCTTCTATAACATATGTCATACATAAATGACTTCATTAACTAGTCGAAGTTCTTTTTATTCGGCTGATTTCCTTAGATCGAGTGAGTATAAGGTAAAAGTTTGCAATTTTTTCTGTATGCGTTTTTTTTTGAAACAATCAAAGTAGACAAATAAAATGAAATAGGATTCTACCGGATTATGTCATTAGATTTTCATGTGAACTATGGAGTTCGATTCGAAGATTCTTCCTATGTCGACTATTGAGATTATCTATCATACATGAATAAAAGGTGATCATCTTTGTGATTGGTTATAATGAACGTTTTCTCTTGAACATACCTGTTGGTCGCTGAAACCTCTTTTATTCTGCCATTGTAATTAGAAAAGTTACATTTTGAATAGCTGATCGAATTGCTAAGTAGACTTCGTGATATCCTTTATTGAGTGCAAACTATCAGGTCATATCGTCATGTTTCTAAAAAGTACTTAGGATTGATAATTTAATTTATTATGCATCGTCAGTTATATTAACAGCTCTAATATACCATTTCATGGGTCCATATAAGTTGATGTCTACCTTTTGATCCTATAGTAGTATTGAATTTCTCGAGTCTTGAGCATAGAGATACTCTACTCAGATGCTTACAATTTTAGTAGTTATTTATAAGTAAACCAATTTTCGACTGAATGATTAGAACAGACATTGATCTTGTGCGATTTTCAAAGTTCATTTTTTTATGTTTGATTGAACTTGTTTTTGATTTCCCGTTCTTGAAATCATCGAAAGAAAAACTACAGAGCCACAATGTATACTCCAATAAAATAAAAATAGAATGAAATACTTTCAGAAGTCTTCATCACTAAAAACTTGACAAACTTATGCAAAAGGCAAGTATTTTTGATCGTAGATTTAAATGATAATTCATTGAAGCAAGACATTTTATCATTATTCATTCATGGCGCCTACAAGATTAAGAATAAGTTAACGAAGACATATGCTTATATATGTATTTTGTTCATCAAGAAGAAGAGATTCAATGCGTCTCGATTTCAACTTGTACAGTCAAGTGTAAATCGCTGAGTACATAGTATTTCAAATGGAAACCATCTGTAACGATTACAGTTAAAATGGAATGTAGAGTATCATATAGGACAATGATTTCTTCGTTAAATTAATAATATAATAGAAGCGATTAATATTGACTGGTTTTATATCTATCCTATACTAAACAATTTTTGCCATGCTAGATGAGAACAAAAAATATTCATGCATTTCGTAAATATTGACGTAGTTCCATTTGATTGATAGAATGGATACGTTCTTCACAATTAATTTTATTGAAGATTCATAGAAGATCACGAATCGAAATGATATTATCACTGGAATGCTCGACCAACCTACTCTAATGTATTATTCGATTGAAGGGCTGCGTCACAAGTTGTCGACAAACATCAGTAAATTGAATAAATATAAGACAAAAAATCGGTTATCTGATATGGCAATAAACATATTTTGCTTATAATATGTCTGATGAAAACTAAATATGTGTTGGCGATAACAAAGATGTAGAAAAACAATTTCGGCAGAGACATTATTGAGTACTATATACTAGTTCTAGGATCACAGAAAATTGGCAAATTTAGCAATGCTACGAAGATCCAACTCTGCATATTACGATTTCTGCTGCATTTATCATTTAGACAGTATTTGCTTTATTTTTTTGGAAAACTTACTCCTTCAACGAGTGAATATGGGTTAAGTATGTTCTATTAAAATGGTCGACGCAATCAGGTAAGGTTTGAACCTGATTGTTATGCAGAACAATTCGATCAATAGAAGTTAATTTAGAACCTATCGGGATGAAAATATTAGGAGTTGGATCTGAAGCTGCTAAAATTGACTGTTGACATTCATAATTATATCTACTAGAAAGAACGGGGTCACATAAGGTGCCAGTTTTAGACCATCATCTGTTTCAGTTTGTTTATAGCTCATTAGACGCAGACTCTTACGAGGAATTGTTTGATACCAAAATTAATTTATTTTGGCAGAATCTACGGGCAGTTCTGTTCAAAATACTGAGATCCAGTTTTGTATATAAATGACTAATTCGTACATAGAACAAACACATATATCGTATGTTCCCTAATGAGATATTTCGAATCGAAAATTGTATCAAATAACTACCTACTCGCTACTCAATCTTTAGTGAGAATTTCAGCCCGAACGATTGAAACGCTACTGTGTAGTAATGAAATTTTTCTCAAATACTAAAAGAGTAAGATGTATGTTCGCCATACATATCGATTTGCTATAGATGTTTATTCTCTAAAACGGTACGATTTCAAGAATTAAGACGTTTCATTCTATTATCAAGCATTCGTTAGGTTTATTTTAATATATCTGCATAGTTTAGAAATATGGTCTCCAATGGAGCAATTATGACTAGATTAATATCATATGTCGAATGGCATTAGTTCATTGAAAAAGACTTTCTATATAAAATAATTCGTTAGTTCGGTATTTATATAAAAATGGCAATGTTCTATAAATATCTCGGAATTTTATTAGTTGTCTAGTGATCCTCTCAATAGTATCATTTTTATTGAAAGATATTCCTTGCTGTTTTTGTTTCTGTGGTACTTTGACCCATCGTAGCATAATGTTTTTTTATGTATAACGAGAGAATAAAAAAGATTGTTATTAGATCGTAGATGATTAAATCATGATAATCATAGGGGAATGGATTAGTTCTAATAGTGTTACCAAAAGTTTTTACATCGATGTGTCTCTCATCCAATCAATCCATCTATCAAGTTTTCCTATGAGCGACAAATCACCTGCCGTTTAACATTAGATGTTAGCTATCCTACAATGGTACGAATAGAAAAAACAGAAAATTGATACTCTGTTTTTTCCCTCAAGCAAACAGGAGAGAGGGAGAGCTAGAAAAAAAAAGGAGAAGATGACATCCATTCCAAGGACGAAATCACACTTAGATACGATCAAACATGGTGTAGTAAGATGCTGACTGATATAGAACAAGAAGGATCGTACAGACGCATAGTGTTCAGTCTATTGCTGTTAGATAACTCTTGACATATCAATCTTTTTTATTAATATGATCATGTTAGAGAACAAGTGATTAATGCTCTAGAAATATCTGTGCGTATATGTGATCTTTCTTCCACATGCTTCATACAATGACATTTCCCATTATATGTTGTTGTTGTCGTTAGCATCTATCCATTCACACTTTTTTCTTACTTGCCTCCTCATCATTATATATCTTATAGATTAGAAGAATAGTCAGTCAATCAGTCTTGCCATTGCATATTCTGACGCACAGATTTACACAATGGCGAAAGCACAGGTTGATACTGGTGAACTCTTTCTAAGTCGACTCTCAGAAACTTGCGTTTGTCGTCCAGGTGATAACGTACTTCTTGAGTGTTATGTTCGTCATCAACAAGTTAAATCAATAGCATGGTATGCCAATGGTGAATTAGTTGAACCAAGAGGCTTTCGTATGTGGCATCGATATTTACCAGCAACAGGCCAATGTACATTTTATATACGTTCTGTACTCTATTCGGATGATGGGATCTATTGTTGTGAAGCAACAAGTAAAGATGATCGTATTGAAGCATTGGAAATTAAATTAAAGATTGAAAATAGTAAGATCAAAATTTCAACAAAATCTTATGATTAATTAATTAATTTAGTTGATAAATCTTGGACTAAAATTCCTGTACTTCTCATGGCGGGACATGTTACACCAGAATGTAAGATTTTGCAATATATTATTATAGATTCATAAATATAACTAACGCTTGATAAGTTATTTCACAAAGAAACTTTTACTATCATATTTATATATCAAATTAATATTTTCGATTTTCTTAAATGATTATCAATCATCGTATTCAAGAGATATTTCCGTCTCCGACAATTTTCAATCTTCTTTAAAAACCGATGTGAATGAATTGAATTGAGAAAAGAATTGTTATCAATAAATCTCCTCGGTGTCTTTAAACGCAAGGATAAAGACTTTATCAGTGATAGACAATTTCTATACCTCATATATATATGCATATAGTTGATGCCCTCACTGTCATTCAGAGCTATTTTACAAACGATAACAGAAGCATATTTGGTCGCACATTGATTCCTGTATATTCTATCTTCGTCTTTTTTTTCGTCCTTCTTTCCCATATTGCTCCTCCATATAATGCTCTGTTGATAATGCATAATGTTAACAACGAGCACCCTTGTTCCGTAGGACTATCTTTGACTTTCTCGTTTCTTCTCGGCGATGGTGGCAATGTGTTACGGCATGCATGGATATGTACATTCGTATGTTATCCATGCGACGTCGCATAGATAGTATATTAGAACATGCTGTGAAAGAATAACAAAAGCGATTCTGCAAAAAAAAAGGAACAACTACCAGAAAAGAACAAAAAAAAGAAAGAAATCCTTTTTTTCAGCGATAATACACTAAGTAGATTCAACGATTGATAGCTAATTGGCGGATATAGTTAAAAAATACTAAAAAAAAAAACCAGATAAGTCTATTTCTTTCTTGTTTAGATGAAGATGAATCGAACACATTACTCTTCAACTTAGACAATAGAAAAACGATTACTGATGAAAATATGTTTCCAATTCATTGGTATGAATTACGTATAGATCGGCCATTACTCGATCCAACAATATCACTTGAATATACTTCACTACAATTATCATGTCGTATTGCTGGCCTTCATATTGATAAATTTGAATGGTTTCGAAACGGAGAATTGATTGCTGTTTGCAGTCAAAGTCCATCATCGTCACTTATAACAGTAGCAACAACTGATGAACAAGATCGTGGTTCATTTCATGCATCTTATGACACATTACCGGCACATTTTATAGCTTTATTAACTATTGATAGTACAACAAAACAACGTCATGAAGGTACCTATGAATGTCTTGCATCAAATGAATATTTTAAAGTTTCATCAACATGCGAAGTTATTATTAAAGAAGTCGAACAGCAAATATTAACAACTGATCAAGTAAATCATATATATATAAATGCATATAAATAAAATTTTGATCGTTTGAATTTTGTTTTTCGAAATTTTTGTAGACAATATTTTCTCGCTCAATCACTGACGTGAAAAAGCGTACAGATGACACTGATGAACAACAACAACAAATACTTCCAACGGATCCGAAATATTTTCGGCTGGATGATTTATCATATGACAATCAAAATCGACATCAACAACCATTGATAATCAGTCCTGTCGAATCATCATTTCGAACTATGGGCGATCAAAAGGTTCCTTCAATTGATAACAAAATAGAAATAGGCAAAACTGTTAAATGGAGTGAACAAGTAGAAACGTTTCGAAAAGTAAATCTTCTTGTCATAGAGTTTTTTATTTTTAAATCTTAATTTGTAACGATTTTACCATATTTTTAGAATGCTCCACAGAATGAACTTGAAACATTACTTCCGCCAATATCAGAAGCAGCTCCATTATCATCATCTGATGAAAGTAGTACTGCATCAGCTGGTGATCTCGAACAAATTCTTCGTTCGCACTCACTACTTGCAACACACCCACCGCCGAAAACCTTTGAATCCAGTAGTGGTTCCGATACCGCTAATGATTCCATTGGCATGTGTCCAGTATTTTTTCAATTACTTCCATCCAAAATGGAATGTGAAGAAGGCGAACGTTTACTACTTTCATGCCAAGTTATGGCTGGTATGCAATGTCAAATAAAATGGTTACTCAATGACAAAGTTATTTCTGAAAATAAATCTCGTACTCGACGTCATTATAATCCTGATACAGGCATTTGCTTTATGATAATTGATCCAACGGTGACTAATGATTCAGGCAGTTATCGTTTAATTATTTCTAGTCGACACGGTCATGCACAGTCAACATGTCAAGTCGAAATTTTAAATCGCCAATTACCACCTATGCCCGAAGATGACCTATCCACACGTTTATATTTTGTCAGACCATTGCCATCAACAGCAATCATGTGTCGCGATGGTGACACTGTACAGTTAACATGTGTTGTTCATGGACGACGACCAATACATGTTCGCTGGTTCAAAGATGAACAACAAATCTCAATTGATGATAAAGAACAACATACACGTCAGATTTATTTCGATGCTTTAACTGGTAAATCTACATTGACCATTCATGATATTTATCCAAGTGATAGTGGAGTATACCGATGCGAAGCAAATAATCAACAAGGCCGAACAAATACAACAACTACAGTTGATGTAACACGTTAGTATTTAAAATGAAATAAATACAATTACGATCTGTAAAGAATTGAAATTTGTTTTTTTGTTCTTTCTTTTTCCAGATTATCAATATGAAGGAGATAGTGAAATGTCTTCAGCATCATTTGCATCAAGTCCACCAAGTGAACATGAAGAATTAATGGGTTCACAATTATATCAATCTACAGATGAAAAAGTTTTATACGAAGAATCTCGTCGACTTGCGAACGAATTAGATGCACGTATTGCTGATCTATCGAGTGGAAATATAACGACTATGAATATTGTACAGCAACAGCGGCAATCCAAACATGGTAAAAATCCTTTTTTTTATTTTACTAAACATTAATCTGCTGATGTAATCTATCTTGAAAATAACATAAGTTATATTATGAAACACAATTAATCAGTTTCTGAAAAGAAGAGATAATGATTCTTTATATATTATCGTACTTCTATTATATAATAGTGTATTGTTCTCATATGTATCAATATGTTCGCTAATTTGTTTTCTTCTTCTTCTTCTTCTAGTATTCTAAGACGATAGATAATTCTAGAATATTAATTAATCCTAAAACGAATTTCATTTCATTTTGGTTTTTCATTGTTCATTCCGATCGGTTAACAATATCTTAATTATTAGTTAACATATTGATCAATTAACTTTTTGCGTAGCGATCTACGATATGAGAATACGATTATAGGCTTTATCAATATTCTACTGTCACGCCTACATTGCCTTGTCGTTCGATAAAAATGAATTGTCAATAACTGGTCTCTACTGGTATCAACGTTGACACTACCATAGAAGAAAAACAACAAGTATTGTCTATCAACATCATTTGTCTTGACGAGTCTTTCATATCATAAATTATGCTTATGCATATGTGCTTATGTTCCATGCATACTTTGCTGCTGCATATGCATATACATATACATACATATATATATATATAGATCGGTCATCACCCTCCTTCTATTCCGGATCAATATTAACTAAAAAAGAATAGAAAGAACAAGCCGAAACTAACGTTAATAGAAAAAAGAGAAGAAGAAGGGAAAAAAAGGAACCTTCACAACCTATGACTCTGCAATACTTGCAGCACTGTATCTTTCCTTTTTTTTCTTGTTCTTTCTACAAATTTAGCATCCTTGTTGATTTTCTTTTCTTTGATTATATCATCCTCTACAGCTGCCTACCAATGACCAAGTAAACATGGAGTTTGTCAGTCTTTTTTTTTAGCGGACGCCTGTAGTATTGGTAGATAATACACAACGTTTTCTTCTTTGCCTTTTGCTACATTCTATAATCATCATAATCATAGTTCGCTATACGGTATCGATATTTGTTTTGCTGACATCGGTGGGGTGCCTAATTAACTTTCGATTCAATTAAAGAATGGCCTTCAATGAAGATCGTATACCGAAATTTGTTAATATTGATGAACAATACGGAAGTAATAGAACTGATTCAATATTATTTGGATTTGAACAAGAACTAAAATCTGTTACTGTACGTGAAGGTGATTCAGCTCGATTAGAAGCTAAAATACGTTTATTATCAACATCTTCAAATATTCAAATTGATCGATCTCTATTACATGTTGAGTGGCGTTTAAATGATACACATATAACAAGTGATTGTACTCCACGATATCGATTTGATTCAATACCAGAAGAGAATCTTTATTGGATGGATATTCGACTATGTGAACAACAAGATGAAGGAGTTTACACGATTTATATTAGTTATGATCATGATAGATTTCATGATGAATCGAGTGCTTATCTCTTTGTTGACAGTGAGTTGAAAAAAAAATTAACAATACACTCATATCTATTATTACTTTAGAATTTTCGAGGAAAACAAATTTTTTTTTATCATTATTATGATTATTAAGGTACCGCAAAGTGAATATAGACTTGTCTAATTTGACATAGGTTGAATTTATTTCACATTGGAATTGACAAGAATATATCTATTTGATATTAATTAATAAATGAAATCAATTCAGTTATTTTGTTTTTTGAACATATTTATCTAAGTATTTTTATTCTACTTGATAACTTTGTTAGTATGATCTTGTGTATTCTTCAGGGTATATACAGCTGTCTTTACTCCTAAATTTATAATACCCTATGAAATAATTATGTAGTGTATTTGCTATAGTTGTTAGGCAGTATTGATTTGAATCTGATTCATTCATTTCTTCGAACGAAATAATGCTAGACAAATGACTATGTAGAAAAAATTGTTTTTGCATATTCGGCTTTTGATTCGAAATCATTGAATAATTCTTAATTAAATCGAATGGATAAATGTGCATAACTATCTCGTCGTCTCCTAATCTATTCAAGATTGCTATATTGTATATCTTGGCGATTTTCTTGCTTCTCTTTTTTAGTAATCAGATATACAATAAAACATGAGCAAAATAACACAAATTACTTTGGCTGGGATAATAGGTCAATTTTGTTTTGTATCCTACTATTATTTCTACTCGTTTCGTACTGAAAAAACAATACCATACGCAATAGTCTATTTAAGATAATCACCATAATATTTTCATAGTTATTTAAACTAAAGAACATTCTTCTAATTGTTGCAAAATGTATCTCTTGTTATCTAATAGAAAGAGAACACTATTGATACCATTTAATAAGTGTATTATATAGACCTTCTCTTCTGAAAGGGCAACTCCATCGTTATTTATACGGCGGTTACAATCGTCGAGACAACTATCGTCTTTGTTCTTTTCCGCATGGATGCTAAATACAACTAGAGTCACAATAATCGATTAATCTACGGTTGAGTGCTATAGGGGGTCAGACACGCACCTACACAAAATAAACAATGAATACAATCAGTGTATATTCCATTTGGATTGTTTTAATCTAAGAAAATCCAAATATAACTAGTAGAACATTTGATATATTCTCATGCCAAAGAATCATTTTCACAGTCAACGTAAATAAAAAGAAAAAAATATAATTTGAATGTTTAATGTTATTTCTAGGCTTTACTAATGAAAAGGAGGAGCAACCTGATCAAATAAGCCAACAAGGATTAAGCGCTGGTGATTCATGGTCATCAGCAACATCTCTTGATCGTTTTATTCCACCAACAATCACGCAATCTCTTCTATCGACTTATCGATATCGTGCTGGTAATAGAGTACAACTTCAAGTTGAATATTTTTCTCCATCAGTACAATGTCATTGTACATGGCAAGTACAGCATACAAATGATTCTGTACCACAACCTGTACTATCTGGATCAATAGTTAATACAAATTATTCATCAATATTAACTATCGATTCCATAACGCCTGAATTACAAGGTTTATATATATTTCATGTCGAAAATGTTTACGGACATGCTAGAACACAGACACATATTATTGTCAATAAAGATGATACTGATGACGAACAACAAGGTACATCGCATATATATGTATATATATATAAATTTTAGTGTGCTTTTTTTTAAACATTATTTAGAATATCAAGAAGCATTAGAGGAGCCACCTATTAAGAAGAAACATACTGACGACGAAAGTCATTTACATTTGCAGGGTCCATATCATAAGCGTATATCAATGATGCATCATATGCCATTAGAAGAAACAGTAGAATCTGAAGATCTTAAAGTTCATATTCCTGGTGGAGCAGCAGAAGGAATTCTAATTCATACTGAATTTGTTCCACCCACACCACGATTATCTATTATTGAAGAGAGATCAATACTTTTGCCTGTAAGAAAAGAAATTTGTGTTACGTTTTATTTTATTTTATTTGTTTGATTGTCTTATAGACTGACGCTAACATGGATCAACAACAATTACAACTTGTAAGTGATTTCGTATCATAACTATTTTAAAACTCATTATGATATACTCTCTTGTTTTCGTCAAAAAATCAAAACTTGGTCTCAATTCTTCTTACTTGATTTGGATAAATTAATTTTTTGAAATATTTTGAATTGAAAACTAGATTAATACACACACCCTTTATATAGTACTACGACATGTATTGTCAATAATTTGAACAAAATATTTCATCATTTTGTTCAGAACTAGTTATTCTTTCTTTTTTTTGTTTGCTTTTATTAAATAGTCTTTAAGTTTTGCTGATTGAAGTTCATCCGAAGTCATATTTTCAATAGGATCGCTGAGAAGTTTTCATATCTTCCATTATTTACTCTGATGTGTGTAAAAAGGAAAGTCATTATCTTATCGGACGATATTTTCGTCTCTATTTGATTAGTGTAATCAAATGCTTAATTATAATATATACAGTTGATTGGTTTATGTATCGAATTTATCATGCAGCGACGTACGCAAAGTAATTTTTATAGAACACAGATGATAATGATAAATGAGACGGAAAATATTCCACTCAATAAAACGTAATATATTGAGTGTGATGAGCGTCTATAGATATTTTCATACAGTTTAGAATATTATGTTATAATTTGTGTTTCATATTTTCGTTATTCGATGAGAATTCAATTTTCTAATAGTTAAAATCATTCTAAAACTAGATGGTATTCGAGTTTCACTCGTACACGAAATGCGGTGCGACGCACGAGCCGAATACACGAAAAAATAAAAAAATTAGCGGAACAGGAACAAGCAATCTTAAAATTCCTCGTTCACGAAAGCATTACATTTTTGTTTTAGTTCTCAAATAATCACAATAGAAATCGTTGCTGAGAAAACTTTTTTTCGTGATTATCAACATAATTCTAGAGGGTTTACAGGATTTACTGCCCATTGATTGTTTTTCTTAGAAAATAGTTTTTTTTTCTACAGAAAGTACAATTTTTACTGCTGAGGATTTACTGTTCATTGATTGTCTCGAAGAATAGAAATGAACAGAAAAATATTTATCGCAATCAACTATGTATATTTAGAAAAAGAAAGAATTCAAGAAATCATTAGATTGAGATTGACTATTAATTGCACGAAATGCTTCTTCAACTATACGATCAATGGGACTAGATTCTTCGATAGCTTTTCGTTTTAAATTTTGTCGCATTTCTAATACTTCTTTATCAGTTTCGTCAGGTAGATGTGTATGATCTTCACGAACAATTACTGATAAATTTAAGTAACTTGTAACTGTTGTTTGACATTTAATACATATCCAATATTCCGAACCATTTTGATTCTTACGTTTCAAAGAATATCGATATCCGATGTAGCACAATCGTCGTTTACCATGGGTAGATTCAGTAAATATAGCAGACATTTTTAGCAAGCGTATGATAAAAAAAAAGTTATGTTCTTTGAATTTATATATATTTATTATAAATTTTTGTCATATAAATGGCTATTTTACCCCCCAATTTGATGAGCATCCGTCATTTTAAATTGAAAATTTATTCAATAGTTCGCTCATTGGTGACTTTTTTTGTTTTTCCACATTTATGTAATTTTTTGTTCAGAAAAGGGATTGGCTGTCAAGACCATTACTCATTTATTAACTTCTCTTCTTCGAAGCAATTAATGGACAGTAAATCCGTGGACAGTAAATCGTGTACACGATCCTAGAGAATGCTTTTGATTGAATATTAAATTATTTCAATGATTCACTATCTTAGATCAGATGCGAAGAAATAGACTATCGGTTACTATTACTTGATAACATCACTTTAATTATCTCGAAACTCGCTAACGATAAAAACCTTACAAGATCATCATTTTTGAATGATATTTTTAGGTGAACGAAACGTAGTATTGAAAATTTGAAAAAAGATGTAACAAGTTCGATGTCGATACTTTCATCTCCCGTTTCAATGAGTTTTCTATGATCTTGCGAACAGAAGATCATACACAAACAAAATGACGATTCGCGATGCGTACGTCGAGAAAGCAAAAGCAAAAGAAAACACGCGACGGACTACAAGAATGCTGAGCTTCGCATCGCATTAATTATTATCCATTAAATATTTTTCTATTTCATAGCACTTGCCGATGAATTCTTTTTTTTTCTTCTTCTCTAACGATATCGATTAAGTGATCTTATTTACTTCAATTATTACTTTTATTTTTGTTTCTAGGACAAGGAATTCATCGACCGAATGCAATTCGAGGAACTATCGCCATCATCATTTATCGATATGGCACAGAAATATATTCATGAGAACATTCCGCAATCAACTGCTTTAACTGTTCTTCGACAACAACAACTACCGCTGCCCGATAATATAATTACTGCCGAAGAGTCAGAAAATATCTCTTCAGCACCTATTGTATACGACGAAGGTCTTAGCAATGTTGATCAATGGTCGGATTTTATTCCTGATTTTAATCCTGACGTACCATCATCGCTTCGTCGAGCTTCACAAATTTCACGTTTAATGATGTCAGCCAATGAATTTGACGACGAACAATATATTGCACATCCTGTAGACCAACGCATAGCAGTTGGTCCTGTGAGAACATCGGATAAAACAAATATCATGCAACAACTCGAATCCCGACCAGATTTTTCAATACTCGATAAAGGTGCTATCGCTCTTAGTCAATCTGAAATACCTCAATTATACGAATATAAAGCTCCCACCGATCTAAAACAAGAATCAACTGCTACATTACGAACTGATACATCGGCTTTGAGTGGTCATGACATAGAAAGTCAAGAAACACCTATAAATGTTGATCATCGACGTCGTCAAGAATCCGGTGGTAGTAAGCAAGTAGCAAAATTAGTCTCACAACCAAGTCTTACTATTGATTTTCCTATACTTGACGAAAGTAGCGTTTCTCTTGATCAACTTCAACGATCCGAACTACCACAATCCGTTACATATAGAGCTCCAACTGATATTCAATCAACAGTTGGCTCTCTTCTTACGTCTACTTCTGCTTTCAGTCAAGACGAACCAGCACATGAAACACCTTTTAATATTAATCAATTCATTCAACATAGTGCTCAAGATAAACCAGTTTCTGATACATCAAAACAACAAACTACAACAATCATACAGCCAAGTGCTATTACTGACTCACAGATGCTTCAAGAGGCACTTGCTCATCTTGATCAAGTTCATCTTCTAGATGCAGCACAAGCTGTTCAATATGAAGCTCCGACTGATATCCAATCAGTAACTGGTTCTTATCCTGCAGCACCTTCTGCACTTATTACTGAAGAATCAACACAAGAGACACCTCTAAATATTAATCAATTACGTCAGCCAGTGACTAAGGGTTTCTCAGCAGCTGATGCAATTCAACAACAAGTTTCATCAGTAATGAGACTAAGTACTGCGACAGATTTACCTATACTTGACGAAACTTCTATTCATCTTGATCAAATTCATCGTTCAGATATACCACAAACAGTTCAATATAAAGCTCCTGTTGATATTGAACCATCAGCCGGATCAATTCGTACAACTACTTCTGCTCTCAGCATAGAAGAGCCAGCACAAGACGTTTCTTGTAATGTTACTCAATTGCATCAAGCTATCGCTCATGATTTGTCTGATACTGGAAGAAAACGTGCTTCAGTTATTTCAATATTATCACAAGCTGTTGATTTGCCAGTACTCGATGAGACACCATTTAATATCAATCAAATTCAACGTACAGAGACACCACAATCGTTTGAATACAAAGCACCGGCTGATATAAAACAAGTATCAGCCATGTTGCATAGTGCTCCGTCTGTATTAGCAAGTGACATCGAACACGATCAAACAATGTTAACTTCAGTAGAAGGTTATCAACAACAACAAGGATACAAAACACATCGACCGTCAGTCGTCTCGGATCTATCATATGGATCTGCAGAAGACGAATTTTCTGAATTACCACATGAAGTACAAGTTCAACAGCGACGTTTACTTAAAATGCCTCGTAAATTACTCGAACAACCAAAAATCATTCAAAGTCGTAGTTCAATTGTTGAAAGTGATGATCAAGCACAATCGACATCACTTAGTCATCGTCGTCAAATGGTAGCTGCTTTAAAGAAACTAGAAGATAAAGAAATAGAAAAAGAAGGAGAAGAAGAAGAAGAAGAAGAAACGGACAGAACCATTTCACCGGAAATATCAATGAATGTTGATGAAATTATTGAAACAATTCAAATGGAAGATGAACCACTCGAACCTGAGAAACCATTTGTTACTGATATATCTGTGCCTAGTGATGAAGATGCGTCGTTATTGACTTCAACATTTGTTGACGTTTTACCTTCAACTGCCGAAATATCTCTACCAGTTAATCAACTCGAAACTATTGGTTCAGATCAAACTGCTAAAGAAGAAACGCAATCATTAACTAATCAAATAGATCAAGTTTCATCGTCACAGATAGATTCTCTCGATTTACCAACAATGGAAGATATATCATCTTATGTTTCTATAGAACAAGAACAACCAACATTAATGACACAAAACACTGAAGAACCATTTGAACTTTCATTCGAGAAAATTGTTGATTATATTGAAATACCACATTCAAAAAGTGATTCCGATGGAAATAAACCTGAAGCTATCATAATTATTGACGAAATAAAACCAATGGAACCAATTTCAACTTTTGACGGTAAATACAATTTTCAGTTACTATTTATTATTATATTTGTTTCTTTTTATATTTAGATACTACAGGTTATATAGTTTTATCTGAAAACTTGCCTATATCAAACTTAAAATCAGAAAATATTCAACAAATAAATGGTATGTTATTCATTGCAAAACAAAACAAAAAATTCTGATCAATTTTATCACATTTTTCTATTGATTTCCATTTAGGTGATATCACAACTGAACAAATTTCTCACACTTCGCTAATCGACACAGGCGAAAAGTTACACGATGAATCCGTAGAATCTTTGCTTGTTCCAGTACAACCGAATCTATTGCCACTAGCAACAATGCCCGATGCAACTATACATGCTGATAAACAACATACACCTGAGAGAAGCATCCAAGATGTTCTCGCATCAATTTCGAAAGATCATGATCAATTCTTCGACGCAGAGTCAGAAGGTGCAAGTGGCACGACGAAAAATGAATCTATAAGAATTGCACCCTTCCATGAATCACCAATTACGTTGGCGATAGTCGAAAAACTGCAACATGATGCAGCTATTGAACTGAAAATGGATGAATTTCATAAACAGCAGCCAATTGTTACATCGATGGAGGCACCTGGTATTAAGGAAGCACAACCAATAGAAACAAAAGATGTCAAACAGGAAATACCATCGAAAACAATCGTTCAAGAGGAAATGAAACCCGACGAAAGTATTCTTCTTGTACAACAAGAGCCTGTTTTAGAAAAGCAAACTACAGAACTGTTATTGTCATCTGAACAACAACCAATAAGTATTCAAATAGTTGAATCAAATCAGGAAATACCGCCAATAAAAAATGAAGAACAATCGAAAATTTCACAGAATAAACAAGAACCGACGATTCATGAAATTATTCAAACATTAGCAGCCACTGAAACACCATCATTAATGCAAGTACCATCGACAATCCAAAAAATTGATATAAATCAAAATGTAATAGAAATACCAAGTGAACAAGTGCTATCATCTGATAAAATAATCACACAGGAAGTAACAACTCAGTTACAAACACTACCAACAGTTGAAAAACAAGAGACTACTGAAAAAATCGAATCATCAACATTGGAAACTGATCGATTAAGTCAAACACTTCGTTTTGAACCATCCATCGAGCAAGCATCAAATGCTGATACATTAAAAACCGATGATAAAATAATAATAACTACGCCACAAATGACAACTACTACTGAGACAAGTTCGATACCAATGGAACATGTTGCCCATGAAACTATTCCAATAACGCAACAATATGTATCACAACAGAGTTCCGAATTTAAAGAAGAAAATTCGACGAAAGAAGGAATATCAACCGTTGAAACAATCGGTACAGACACAACAATATCAGTTGAACAACAAGATTTATTTACACAACTTGAAGAGCAAAAATCAAAACTAGCAGAATTACAACAGCCTATCACACTCCAACTCGAAGAACAGCAACAAATATCAACTGAAAAGCAAGAATTATCTCAACTAAAAAAGACGGAACAAACGTTATTTCCAGAAGAAAAGCTCAAACTAGTTTTTGATCAGATACAACAATTGTCAGAAGCAAATGAAGAGCAACAAGCAATAAAAGTTGAAATGCCAGAAGAACAACCGACACAGTTTGATCAACAACTAGAAAAATCAGCAGGTGAACAAACGCTCATTAGCATGCAAGAGTCAGAATCACTTTTATTCGGTGCACAAGAATTGCAGCAAAAAGCGAGAGAAGCTTTACAACAAACACAACTTCAACTAATTTCAAAAGACAAAGTAGAACATATCGAAGGACAGAAAGTGGAAATATCTGAGAAAGAGCCCCCTCAATCTGTAGTGGAAGAGAAAATGGAAACAGAAGAACAAATCCAACAACGACTCATGCCAGAATTGCAGTCAATCAGAGAAGACAAAGACTCAGTGGTAGACGAAAAGATCACTTCTGTAGAAGTAGTACAAATCGAAAAAATACAACCAGAAACTGAACAAGACCCAAGTCATCAACAGTTTGATATGCAGTTAGACACCATAACTAAACCTCAAAAAGTCACAAAAATACAGCAGGATAAATCACAACTAGTCGACGAGGCTCAGCTGCCAAAAACAACTAATATTACAGAAGAGGTACCACATGCAGTTCAAATTCAACCAACAGAAGATGCTCAACTATTACCAACTGTTCCAGCCATGTCGATTGAACAGATGCAAGCTTCGCAGCCAACACAAGTGTCTCAAGAAAAATCACAACCCGTCGAAGTCCTACAGGTGGAAGAAGTTCAAATATCACAACCTCTTGAGGTCGTCCAAATCGAAGAAGCTAAACCGATACAAACTTCTACGGAGAAATTGGAACCAGTCGACGTAAAATTAATACAAGAAATTGTACCGATGCAAGTTCTAGAGGAGGTAGCGAAACCAATCGAAGTCAAATCGATAGAAGAATTTGAGCAATCGAAGCCAACAGATGTTGCCCAAGAGAAACCTCAATATGTTGAAGTCAAGAAAACTGAAGATGCTCTATCTTCTCCTGCAGCTGACGGGAAATCACAACCTGTTGAAGTCACACCAATCGAAGAAACTCAAGCAAAACCAACAGAAGTAAACCAGGAGACAAGACAGCTAATGGAAGTCATACAAATCGAAGAGAGTCAACAAATTACATCAGCCCAGCCTCATGAAGGAAAACCACAACCAGGTGAGGTCAAACAAATAGAAGAAACTCAGCCAGTACAAACTTTTACTGATAAACCGCAGCCAGTCGAAGTGAAATCGATAGAAGAAGCTAAAAAACAAACATCAACAGATGTTCCTGACAAGAAACCAGAAACAGTCGAAGTGAAATTAATTGAAGATGATATAACGGCACAGGTCTCTGAGAACAAAATGCAACAAGTAGAAGTTCAACATATTGACATCGGCGAAGAACCCAAATCAACACACGTTCTCGAGGAGGTAGCGAAACCAATTGAGGTCAAATCGATAGAAGAATTTGAGCAATCGAAACCAACAGATGTTGCCCAAGAGAAACCTCAATATGTCGAAGCCAAGAAAACTGAAGATGCTCTGTCTTCCCATGTACCTGATGAGAAACCGCAACAAGTAGAAGTGAAATCAATTGAAGAAACTATAACGACACATATTTATGAGGACAAATTGCAACCAGTCAATATCAAACTTATCGAAGAGGGTCAAGTGCCAAAACAAATCCAACTTCTTGAAGAGAACCCACAGCCAGTTGTGGTCAAACAAATCGAAGAAGCGCAGTCATCACAACCGAAAGAAATTCTTATTGATAAACCAGAACCTGTCGAAGTCAAACCTATCGAAGTAACCGAAAAACTCCAATCAACACGCGTCCTTCAGGAGACACCAGAAGCAGTCAAAGTTGAATCGATAGAAGAAACTGAACAACCAAAACTCACAAATGTTTCTGAAGAAAAAGTTCACTCTGTTGAAATCAAGCAAATTGGAGAAGTTCAACCTTCATATGTTTCTGATGAAAAATCGCAGCCAGTTGCAGTGAAACCGCTTGAAGAAACCATACCAATGCAGCTAACACGTGTTCCTGATGAAAAGCCGCAATCAGTCGATGTCAAACATGTTGAAGACGCTCAACAATCAGAGTCAACCGAAGTTCTCCAGGAGAAAATGGAATCAATGGAAATCAAACAAGTAGAGGAAGTTCAACTATCACAACCTCTTCCAATTACACCAGTTGAACTGACTCAAGCTCCACAATCAACAGAAGTTCCTGAGAAGAAACTCCAAACACTTGAAGTCAAACATATTGTAGAAACTCAACACTCGGAGCTACCACAAATTTCTGAAGAGAAACCAAAACCAGTTGAAATCAATCGAGATGAACAGACACAATTATTACAACCAGTTCTAGTGAAATCAATTGACGATAATAAACAATCAAAACCAACACATGCTCCTGAAGATGAGCAGAAACCATCTGAAAAAATTAAAGCAAAACCTATCGTTGAAAAGAAACCAGAGGTCGTGGAGAAAAATCGAGCAGAAAAACTTGAAGATCAGAAGCAAAGCGCTGCTGCTCAACAAAAACTACAGCCAGTCGAAGAAGAAAAACTCGAGAAAGTAGACGAATCCCATACCCAAATTCTTATTACAGAAACACTGAAACAAGTGGAGGAACCTCTAGCGACAAAAATCGATGAGTTCAAATTAAAAACCATAGCAGAAGAAGCCAAGAAGAAGAGAGCTGATGCTCAGCAACAAATCAAGCCGGAAGAATCAAAATCAGAAACCGCTTCACAAGACAAGTCCAAGCCAACTGAAGAAGAGAAGACTAAATTAATAGAGGCTACTCCAAGCAACCAAGTGGAAGAGTCAAAACTCGCAATACCGACAGAAGAAAAGACGAGTCAAGAAGATACAACAAAACCCAAGAAAGTCGAAACACCAGACAATAAAGCATCTGTTCAAGGCAAAGGTAAATCGGTGGAAGAAACTAAATTAAAAACAGTACCCGAAGGAAAGACAACAACGTCCGATACAGAAAAACACAAGGAAGCTGAACAGTCCAAAACTCTCGAAGAAGAAAAACGAAACAAACTTGACGAAAAAACTAAGCTACCAGCAGAAGCGGCAATCAAAACAATTGACGAAACAAAACCAACTGACGCTACTGAAGGAAAGACGGCGTCGCCAGATAGTGCGAAACAAAAGAAGTCCGAGAGAAGAAAACCGCGAACTGTTGAAGAAGAAAAGCCGAAGCTAGGCGAAGAAGAAAACCTCAAGGCGCTTGATGAGAAAACGAAGCATGTCGTAGAAACTGAATCAAAAGTGACACCGGAAGAAAAGACAGAGCCGACCGATGCACAGAAACAAAAGCAGCCTGAAGAGCAAGTGAGCCTCGTTGAACAACCCATAACAGAAGTTCCAGCTGAGGACAATACTAAACTCTACGAAGCAGTTACATTCAAACACTTTCAAGAGCTTGAACCAGAACTCACAGTTGACGGCGAAGCGCAACTATGCGAAGCTAAGAAAGAGAAAAAAACTGAACAAGCGAACTTCAAGCAACTTCAGCAGCAAAAAACGGAAGTTATTCAACAAACCAAAGAAACAGTAGCAAATGAATCGATTCCTAGAACGGTTGAAGCACATACAATCCAACACAGCGAAGAGCGTACATCAAACGTTCCACAAGACGAAAACAAAACGGAAAAACAAAAGCAAAAACCCGCTCCGGAAGACAAGATCGACGTCACAGAACACGTAAATCTCACAGACATTGAAGAACCAAAACTACAACTTTCAGCAGAGCAAGACATCCAATCCCCAAAAAAATCTACACCAAAGGAAGCCGAAGATGCGAAAGGTAAATTACAATTTGATCAATGGACAAAATCATCCGATGCTCAGAAACAAAACGGCCAAACCGAAAAAAAAGAAAAATCAAACACACCTGACGACAACCTCACACAACTTCAACAGGTTCAATTCCATATAGATGAAGTTTATCCAGAGGCTGTGGAACAACAAAAAGTAGCAGAGTCACCCGAAACACAACCAAAATCTGCTGAAGGCAGGACCCAACGACACGGTACACTAGTCACAACACAACCACAGACACAAACATGTCATGAAAATCAGATCAAGGATCAGACCACAGAAGCAGCTGAAAAACCATTCACAACCTTGGAACAACCGCAATCCGAACAAACAACTGAAGAGACAGCTGAGGCTACAGAAGAAGCAAATCTAACACAACCTGCAGAAAAGACACAACAAGCATTCAAGGCTCGTGAAACTAAAACCGCAAAAGACCAACCCAAACCCATTAAAGACGCACAATCGACAAGAACTTCAGAAGACAAGCCAATCCATGAGCCCATCAAGAAACAACCCGACCAAGGAGAGACTCCGCTAGAACAAGCAGTTCAAGAAAACGTCAAAGCCATGGAATCACACAAAACAGCTACAACTGCAGCACCCGAAAGAGTGACAGCAGCTAAAGCCAAGGACGCACCAGACGACAAATCTAAGACCGACTACCAAAGAGAAGAACACGCTAAAGCAACTGATGAGATTACACCTCAGAAAGCAACTGAAGCCAAAGACGTCGACCAAGTCAAAGCCTCTGAAGAGGCTAAGATCAAGAAAGAAGCCGAAGCAAAAGCCAAAGCAGACAAAGAAGCCGAAGAAAAAGATAAAGCTGAAAACGAAGCCGAAGAAAAAGCCAAGGCCAAAAAAGAAGCAGAAGAGAAAG